AGCCCCTTGAGCTCTGAGCCCCCTGGCCTCCCGCCTCCCCAGCCCCCGCCGGATAACCCCCGTTTCTGTTGCAGATTTTGAGTTCCTGCTCCCCAGCAGCTTTGAGTCTGAAGGACATGTTTTCATTGCTCCCAGGTAGCTTGCGTGTGGCCTTGCTGAGGTGTCCTCCCCCACCCTGACTGCCCTGGCCCGCCTCCTGCACTGCTACCTGGAGCTGTGTGTGTCTGTGTCCCGTGCAGTGTCGCCCCCACCCCCCTGCATAGCCCCGTATGTGCGGCCGCGTGCATACCCGGGCCATGTAGCTGAACCAGGCGGCAGTGGCCAGCTGCCCGCAGCTCCGGCTCCCAGGGGCCTGGGGCGGGAGGGCTCTGGACCCTCTGCTGACCTTCCCTACCCTCAGGCAACCAGAAGGAGTCCTGTGTGCCCTGGGCTGGCTGTCCACAGCCTGCACCTCGCTGGGCAGCTGCTGCTCTGGTTTGTGGTGCCCTCCCCTCCCCACCCTGCACCCTGTCCTTGTCCTGTGTCAGTCAGTGTTTGTGTGGGTCTGGGGACGAGCCAGCCAGAGCCCCTGTCGGCAGTGCTGAGTCTAGGTGTGGTGGCTCACTGAGGACAGGGTGGAGGAGGGGATGGGGCTTTGAGGAGCTGCTTGGACAAGTGAGGGTTCAGGGCCTGGACGTCCCTCGAGCGCACTCAGCATGCACACACAGCCCTCATGTGCACACCCCCTGCCTGACGGCCCGCATCTGAAGAAGCCAGTGGGCCCCCAGGTGGTAATGCCCTCCCCTGTGACCCGGGCTTTGGGTGAGGGCAGGTGGGTACAGCTAACAGAGACCCAGGGGCACTCTCAGGCACCCCACGTGGGCTCTGGGCACTCCTCACCTTCATGTGTGCACATGCGCGCATGCACCCACAAATCTCTCTGTGACTCTCTGTACATGCGTGTTTGTGGATGTTTGTAAGAGTCCAAATGTAAATGTGGGGTGGTCCGTCTGCATCAGCGACTGTGGAAATGTGTGAAGAGCCTGTGTGACCCATGTGACCCTCAGGGAGCTCTTTGAGGACAGGGACTGTGTGTGTTTTTGTCACCTCTGTGTCTTTGGCTCAGGAGAGCTCAATAAATATGTTTTGGGTGAGTGAATAGCATAACCCACAAATAGAAATGTATATATGGGGACTGCAGAGGACGTGCATCTCCAGCCCAGCTGTTTGGGTGTCACTCTGGGTATGTCAGGTATGGCCTCTGCACCGGAAGTGCAAGCTGTGCGGTGCACAGAGGCCCCAGGGGCCAGGGAGCAGGTGAGGCTGAGACCCAGCCCAGGAGCCCTCACCGACTGTGGGCCCTAGCAGAGCCTGGGAAGCAGCACATTTGAAAAATTCTCGCAATTGCTGCCGTACGGACCTGTGGTGAGGTCTCTGGTGGCAGGGGTGGGAGTGAGGAATTGGGCTGGAGAGGCAGCTCCTCGCCACGGCCTCCTGGGTTGCTGAGCCTGAGCAGGCCTCCACACACCCCGCAGCCCCTGCTCTCTGAGCCCCGTGAGGACCTGGAGGAGGTGAGGGATTGGCCTCTTCACTGCTGGGGCAAGAGCATCCCAGGCAGAGGGACTAGGCAGTTGGAGGACCCGCATGTTCCCACCGACTTCATGACGTCTTCTGTGGTACGATGTAAAAGAAGCTCAGGGAGCTTGAGTGAGCTGCCCAAAGGCACACAGCCAGGAAGCGGCAGGATGAGGGCAGGACAGTCTTAGACTCGGCTGACCGGCCGGTGCTGGGGCTCACCCACCTTGCGCTCATGGACCACGACAGCTACAGGCGGGTGAGCCCACCAGGAGAGCCTCCCAGGTGCTCCATCTGGGTCCAGATACGCGGGAGAGGCGGGAGGCTCTGCAGGGCCGTGCCCGGGAGAGAACCTTCCAGGATGGAGGAGGTAGATCCCCATCCTCCTGTCAGCTCTGCCCCTACTCAGACCCGGGAGCCTGCCAGGCGTGTAGTGGCTGCAGCCTGGAAGAACACACCTGCCCCTCCCTGAGGCCTGGGCTTCTCAGCAAATGACGGGAAGACCTGTTGGGAAGCCTCGACCCTCTGCCCTGTCCAGCCCCCCAAGCCCACTCTTTTTGCCCCCCCTCCACCCCCAGAGAGTATTGCAAGGACCTGAATGCCTCAGACAACAACACCGAGTTCCTGAAAAACTTCATTGAGCTCATGGAGAAAGTGACTCCGGACTCCAAGCAGTGTGAGTGCCGGGTAGGGCGGCCCCGAGGAACCCGGGGACCGGGTGGACGTGGAAATATGCAGGCCAAGCCTGGGCCAGGTCATGGGGAAGCCTCCCACTGGAGCCTTGGGTGGGGGGGCAGGGAGCCATGAAAAGCTGCCCCCTCCACCCCTGCCCTCCCATTCCAGGCAACAACTTCCTTCTGCACAACCTGATCTTGGACACAGGCATCACACAACAGCTGGTGGAGCGTGTGTGGCGGGACCAGGATCTCAACACGTAGGCACTGCCCAGCCTGTGGGAGCAGGAGGCTGGGGTGGGCCCAGGGGCCCTGGCCCTGCCGTGTAAAGGCAGGCCTGTGACCACACCTCCCTGCTGCCCCCAGGTATAGCCTTCTGGCTGTGTTTGCTGCCACTGACGGCGGCATCACTCGAGTATTCCCCAACAAGTAAGTGACCTACCCCGCTACATGACCCCCTGACCCTGCCTAGGACCCTCCTTTGTCCTGCTGCCCAGAGGCCCCTTTGCACCTGCCTGGACTACTGTCTCCCATAAGCCACGCCTTCCATCAACCTCTGCCTTCTTGGATGACCAGGGCAGCTGAGGACTGGACGGAGAACCCTGAGCCCTTCAATGCCAGTTTCTACCGCCGCAGCCTGGATAGCCGTGGCTATGTCTTCAAGCCCCCACAGCAGGACGGTGAGTGTCCTCCCGGTGCACAGCAGCAGGGGCAGCCGAGGCCTCCCCGTGTGCTCACCCAGGGCTGGGCTCTACTCTCTGAGGCCCCTCTCAAACACAAGGCAGGCCGAGACTGGGGTCGAGGAGGAGAGAGGGCGAGGCTATGCCAGACACGATGCTGGGTGCTGGGTGCTTAGGCTGGGGTAAGCCTTGGCTTGGGCTCCTGAGTCCTCAGGGCTCAGCATGGGGCGGTCAGTGTGGCTGCCAGCCCCCACTCCTGACTGCCTCCCCCCAGCCCTGTTAAGGCCTCTGGAGCTGGAGAACGACACGGTGGGCATCCTTGTCAGCACAGCTGTGGAGTTCAGCCTGGGTGGACGCACCCTGAGGCCAGCAGGTGAGTGCCCACGACGGAAGCAGGGAGAGGGTGGGCAGGGTGCTGCGTAGGCAGGCAGGCATTGATGGCCCCTTGCTCTCCCCCATAGTGGTGGGTGTTAAGCTGGATCTAGAGGCCTGGGCTGAGAAGTTCAAGGTGCTAGCCAGCAATCGTACCCACCAGGACCAGCCTCAGAAGGTACTTGGGCAGGGGTGGGGGCAGTAAGCCCAGCAGTACCCATTCTGGAGCCCCCAGGAACTTCTACCAGTCCTCCCACTCAAAGTGTCTGTGGTGCCTGTGGGGAGGCAGGGGCTGTTGTGGATGGCCTGGGGACCCATATCGTGAAGGGTGATGGGAGGGGGGAAAACTGGTGGTCACCTTACAGTCCTTGCTCTCTGCCCAGCAGTGCGGCCCCAGCACCCACTGTGAGATGGACTGCGAGGTAAACAATGAGGTGGGTGTGCCCTGAACCCTCACCTACCCCACTCCTGGCCTTCTTACTCCCACCTGCAACTCCTAGGCCAGCTCCGCCCTGACCTCACAGCTTTACCAGAACTGGGGGGAGTGGTACCCCCTCCACTCAACCAGGGGATTGCCAGGGTCTGGGGAGGAAGGCCTGTGCCTGAGCCCTCCACCGCCTTCCTCCCCCTTCCCCACCTCTCAGGACCTGCTCTGTGTCCTCATTGATGACGGGGGATTCCTGGTGCTGTCAAACCAGAACCATCAGTGGGACCAGGTGAGGGTCAGGAAGAGGGTGGAAGGAGGGGGTCGAGTTTGAGCCTTCTGGGGGTGTGGCGCTGCCAGCCCTGTGACTGTGGTTTCCTCCCTGCATCCCCAGGTGGGCAGGTTCTTCAGTGAGGTGGATGCCAACCTGATGCTGGCGCTCTACAATAACTCCTTCTACACCCGCAAGGAGTCCTTCGACTATCAGGCAGCCTGTGCCCCACAACCCCCAGGCAACCTGGGTGCTGCACCCCGGGGTGTCTTTGTGGTGAGCCCCAGCAATGCCTGGCCTGGGGATGGAGGATGGGGGGCTGGGAGACCTGCCCAAAGATGACACCCTACCTGTGAGGAGAGAGCTGGGGGAGACGTGGGTCCAGGGGCAGAAGTGGCAGCCCATGCCTCTCTCTGCCGCAGCCCACCATTGCAGACTTCCTTAACCTGGCCTGGTGGACCTCAGCTGCCGCCTGGTGAGTCCTGGTGGGGGGAGGGGTCAGGGAGGGCTCAAGAGAGGCGGGGCAGGGCCCGGGCCTCCGCTGACCACTCCCACTCAGCGACCCGTGCCCTGCAGGTCCTTGTTCCAGCAGCTCCTCTATGGCCTCATCTACCACAGCTGGTTCCAGGCAGGTACGTAGGGGCTTTGGAGGCCCCCTCCTCAAACCCCCTCTTCCCAAAGGGCGGCGGGGGTCATGGCTGGCGCAGCTGAGGCCCAGAGCGGTGCCAGGGTGGGGGGCTGTGGCTGAGGCTCGCGGGGCCCTCGCAGATC